CGTTAGGCTCCCACTTCTCCTTTTTGCTCTGTATTCTTTCATAAAAGTCCCTATTATGGAGAGCGATTTGCAACATTTTGGCTAAAACCCAACGTTGACTTCCTGTTTGGGGCAAAAGCCCTCTAGAGTGAGTAATGGGTCGACGTAGTGACTGTGGCGTTGGCTTTATGAGCAATGCAAAAAGGGTGGGTGACCTGCTTTATGTCCATAATGGATTACAACTGTAACGTGCAGGCTCCATTATGGTCATAAGTTGAGGATTGCCTGTGCAGATAATGTGCGTTGGGAGGACTTGTCCAGGGAAGCAGATCCCGGCTGAGTCTCAAAGGGAATCTGTCTCTAGGTACCTAATAACAATCTATTCAAAGTATACACCCTCCTGCACGAGATGCACTGGTTACCAGTCATCCTCCGGATCCACTTCAAAGTGCTGGTGCTCACCTATAAAGCCCTTCATGGCATGGGCCCGGGGTACTTGAAGGAGCACCTACTGCCTGCCTCCCACCGCCCAGTGCGCTCACATAGGGCTGCCCTCCTCGGGGTGCCGTCGACCAAGCAATGTCGGCTGATGGCGTCCAGGATGAGGGCGCCAACCCTCTGGAATGCCTTACCCACCGAGCTCCGAACGGCTCCCGACCTTCGCTCCTTCCGCAAGGACCTAAAGACGTGGCTTTTTAAACAACTCCTCTGATCTGCGGGGTGTTTTTAATTGGTTTTAATATGGTTTTAATTTGTGGGATTTTAATTATCCTAAATTAATTATATTTCTTTATTTTCTTTGGTTTTTAACCTTTTGTGAGCCGCCCCGAGTCCTTCGGGAGAAGGGCGGCATATAAATTTAACTAACTAACTAACTAAATATTCCCTCCTAACACCGAAAGTCCTTCAGATGAGGAGAGCGCTAAGCCCCAGGCCTCCTTGGCCCCTGTGCTGTCACGCTCTGCCCATGGTTTAAAATGAATAAGAGCTATAATTAGCATGGTGATGGGGGGGGGGGAAGCTCTTCTCCTGGGGGGCCGGGGGGGGGGTGGGGGGTCTTCACAAGAGAGTGGAGACCCTGAAGCCAGCGGACGGAAGGGCTCAGTGGAGAAGGAAAAGCCGCTCTGAGTGAAAGAAATCAACACTCCCCTTTTGTCAATAAAAGAGAGTCTACTGGCACAGGCATTGAGATTCATGAAGACCGGGCATTGCAGGCCATCGGGGCCTGGAAGGAGATGGGCAGGGGGCACCTAGTGGGCCAAGCCAGGGAGGCTGGGCAAGGGAGTCCTCACCACATGTGTTGTCCGACGTTGATGGCAAAAATCGGGTTAGGGGCGAGGGCTGCCAGCCAAAAGGGCCGAAGGAGCTGAATCAAAATCTGCTTTCCAGAGGAAGCTGGGGGAGGGGGAGGGGCTTCGGGGGGGGTTGTTGGAGGAGGGGTTGCCAGCTGCGGCAGGAGAGGGGCACGGGGCAGCTGGAAGGATGGGCAGGCTGGCCAGCAAGTCCTAGAGCTGCCCCCGGGGCGCCAGGCTGTGGGGGGCAAGGAGAAGGAGCTGATAATTGTGCTTATCAGGAAGGGGATTGTGGGACTTTGGTCTCTTGTGTGAGGGTGAAGGAATGGCTGCCACAGGCCTGAACCGTGCTGGGTGTGGCTGGCAGCCATCGGTTGGGGCGCCGGCTGTCTCCGGGAAGGGCAGCAGGGTCCCCTGGGCAGGCATTGAGAAAAGGCGGGAAAAAAAATTCCCCTCTGAATTTCCCCTCACTCCTGCCCCCCCCTCTCTCTCTCTCTCACACACACACACACACACACACCACTGTGTAAGCTGTACTGGCTCCCAGGAAGCTTCTGGGTGGGGATCCAGTACTGGTGGTCGCCTCCAACGCAACGCGTGGCCCGGAGCCAGGTGCCTTGCAGTGCCCGTCTCTCCCTGATGGGGTCGGCCCATTTCACTAGATCTGGCGGGAAGCGTCTGCCCTGGGTGCCCCCTTGGGGAAGCTGTGTTGGTGGTGGTGGTGGGGGCCTTGGAAGCACATATTCTCTGTCTTAGGAAACAGCCTCTCCTTGGCCTTCAGAAAAGCGGGGCACAGGTGGCTCCTCTCCCCAGGCGTTGGTGGGGCTGGCATAGGGCGGTTGATGGATGAGACTTAATGAGGCCCCAACTTGGTTTACTGGCCTTTCTGTTTTTAGTGGGCTGTGTTCCTCCAGCTAGATGGGTGGCTGCATAAATTGCTTAATTATGGCAATTAAAATAATTGTACATTGGCAATACCAATAGCCCTTAGGCTTATATGCCGCTTCACAGTGCTTCGCTGCCCTCTCTAAGCGGTCTACAGAGAGAGCCTGTTGCCCCCAACAATCTGGGCCCCCGTTCTACCAACCTTGGAAGGACGGACGGTTTAAGCCAGCCAGGATCGAACTGCTGACAGTGGAATGCAGAGTCAGTCGGTAATACTGCATTCTGACTACTGCACCACCACGGCTCCTTAAATGTAAATCAGGTGTAATTTATTTAATTAATTAATAGAGCAGCTTTATTCCCATACCAAGCTTTGCCCCTGAGAACAGAGAAGGCACTGGAGGGGGCTGGTGTGGGACCGGATGGGTTCCTGGACAGCTGCCCAGCCCTCTCTTAGCTTGGCCTAAAATGCTACCCGAATCCAGAGGCGGCTGATTTTTCTAGCCCAAAGGGCCCCCAGGCAGCCGATAAGCCAAGCCAACCGCTCGCTGTGCCCATCAAACGAGCCTCAGCACAGTGTGGGGATCCCAAAGACCTTGGTGGTTCTCTTAGTTTTTTCCTTGAGAACATTTTGCCTCTCATCGGAAAAGCTGCTTCGGTCACCAGTGAAGAGAAATGAAGAAAGCGGAGCAGCATGGAAGGAGCTTCTTGGATGAGACAAAGTGAAACGTTGCCAAGGAAGCTCAGTTGCCTTTTGGGAAAAGCACCTTTGGGACCGCCGTGACTTCCGCAGGCACAAGGCGGGAAGTTGGGGTGCTCACTTGTGGGGGACCTCCAGGTCTCCCGATGCCCTTTCCCGTCCTTCGGCCGCAGAGCCTGGCTGACCCTCTGGGCCCCTGTGGCCTGTCCCAGCAATTGGGCTCTGTGCCTGCAGGGCCGGTCTGTTCCGTGGCCTCCCTCGGTTCCAGGCCCTTCTGGCCCAGCCTGGTCGTCACGGGAGCCGCTGCCAGTGTTCTGATGCCAGCCCACCAGAGCTTCCTCGGGGGCAGGCTGGGTCTTCCGGGCTGCAGCCCACAGACTGGCCATGGCCCACGGAGCTGAGCGGTGGGAGGCCTCGGCCACAGATGGGATGTGCTCCCAAGGAGGAGGAGGAGGAGGAGGTCTGTCCTGGCTCTGGGAAGGAGCCACCCTGCGGCTCAAGGGGGAGGTCTCCAAGGGGGTGTGGAGGGAGGGGGCTATTCATGGCCCAAAACCAAGGGACCAGAGGGCTGCAGAAACCCCAAAGATTGTCCCTGTGCTTCCGAAGGGCTCGGGGGGGCGGGGGGGGGCAAGCCGTACTAAATCTGGGAAGGCCCTGCACAAAGGGCCCACCGCCAGGCCCTCCTGCTGGACCCCAAAATGGGGACTTTTAATGTTACCCTGTTTCTCCCAAAATAAGACATCATCCCCTGATGATAAGCCCAATCGGGCTTTTGAGCACATGGCAATAAGGCCAAGCGTTTATTTCAGGGTTCAAAAAAATATAAGACAAGGTCTTATTTTCAGGGAAACACGATAGTGGTAATGAGATTTCTCATTTCTTATCTTTTGTAAAAAAAAAAATTATTTTTAATGACAGTTTGATGTTGTTTGCTTGTTTTTTTTCCTTTTCTTTTTTCCTTTTCATATTTTTGTATTTTAACTTGGGAGATACATATAAATATACAGTATTTGGTTATTAGCAGCTTCAGCTGCATTCAGAAACACAGTCGCAGCCACCCCCCACCCTCAGAAAACTGTCTAGTTAAACGCAAAAGTTGTCTTTTTATTTCTTCATAACTTTGTGTTTGGTTTATCTTTGATTCTCTGGTTGTTTGTTTCAATTAATATATATTTTGAAAAAAACAATTTTTAATGGTTGCATCTTAGCAATAGCAATAGCACTTATATACCGCTTCACAGTGCTTTTACAGCCCCCTCTAAGCAGTTTACAGAGTCAGCTTCTTGCCCCCCCCCCCCCCAACAATCTGGGTCCTCATTTGACCCACCTTGGAAGGATGGAAGGCTGAGTCGACCTTGAGCCTGGTGGGATTTGAACTGTCAAACTGCTGGCAGCCAGCGATCAGCCGAAGAAGCCTGCAGTACTGTACTCTAACCACTGCACCACCATGGCTCATCTTTCCTGTCTTTTTGTATTAATAAAGCCATATCATATCTTCAGTCCATCAAATGCCATTAGAGGTAGACCTCGGTTACTGACTGCCTTGTTCAGCAACTGTTTGAAATTACGACAGTGCTGGGGGGGAAATGGCTTTATAACCAGTGCTCACCTTTATGACCTTTGCAACGTTCCTCAGTCATGTGACCGCCCCTACAGTCACTACACGTTGTCCTGTGCCTGTCCCTGGGGGTTAATCTTTTTTCCCACCTTTGCAGAGTGTAAAGATTGGAGAGGAAGGGATCACAAGAGAGTCAGCAGGCACACAGTGGGGAATACACCCTGAAAGGAATGCAATGTCACACCAAACCTTTTCCCTCCCCACTCTGTCCCTGCTGACTCTCTTGTGATCCCTTCCTCTCCAATGAATATAAATGCAAACCGGAACTCTCTTCTGGCTAATTAGCCCAGTGCCTAAGGCTGGGGAGAGGAGATGGGAAAAAGAAAAGCCCAGTCACATGAGGTCCCACTTAGTGACAGCTATGCTTAATGACAGAGCTGCCACTCCCAGTTTGGTTGCATCGGTTTGCTCCCTCACCACACCTGGTGAGCCCCACTCCTCCCTCCCTCACACACACACACACACACACACACACACACAGAGTGGCTACAGGCCTGACCATGCTCTTGTGCTTCCCCTTCTGCAGAGACCATGAAGGAACCCCGGCATCGTAAGGACAACCGGCGTCCGGATCTTGAGATCTACAAGCCGGGCCTCTCCCGCCTGAGGAACAAGCCGGGCCCGGCGAAGCAGGAGCTTCCACGGAAGGAGGACGCCAAGGAGGAGAACCCTGGCCCCAGGGAGCCCCCGGCAGCTGCCTGCAAGGAGGGCACCCCGCCCTCCCAGCCACCTCCCGAAGACAGGGGCCAGCCGCCCAACGGCTTCCTGGAAGGCTCCCCCCAGGGCCGCGGGGGCACCCCCGAGGACTGGTGCCCTCGCATCATCAGGCGAGCCAAGAAGCCCGACCAGCAGATCTACCAGCCTGGCAAACGCTTGCAGGCCTCACCCCGAGAAGCGGGGGCTGCCTCCCTGGTAGACGAGGAGCTCCCCCTGAAGGAGGAGAGGGGAGCAGACTCCGAGAAGGACTCTGGGAGGGCTGGGAACGGCCCCCGGAAGCCAGGGGACCAGGAAGGAGAGCCGAGCCAGGAAGGGGCCAAGCCGCTCCGGGGGGAGAAGGGCAGGCGGTCCGAGCGGCCCCGGAAGGCCCGAGACGAGCCGGGCCATGGCAAGGGCAGCCCCCCCAAGCGCTACTCACGCTCGGACAAGCGTCGTAGTCGCTACCGCACCTGCAGCACCAGCTCGGCGGGTAGCAACAACAGCACCGAGGGGGCCCGTGGGGAGGTGGAGCTGGGGAGGAAGCCTCCGGAAAGGCCCCGCCCACAGAAGCAGCTCTCTGCCTCCTCCACCGACTCCCTGGAAGAGGACAGGGCTGAGGAAGCCCCGGAGGCCAGGAGGGGCTCCGAGCACAGCAGGCTCGGTCGGGGCCAGGACCCCAGAGCAGCCCAGGGGGGCGGCAGGGGCTCCGCAGAGAGAGGATCCACGGCCTCCCAGCCCGAATGGCGAAAGGGCGGCAGGCCCTCCGGGGCCACCCCCAGGGACCCCGCAGAAGCCGGGGAGGGGAAGTCCCAGAACCGGGGCCGAGGCATCCTGGTGCTGCCGGCCAACACGGACCTGACCCCCAGCGGCACAGGGTCCCCCGAAGCTCCGCACGGAGGGGGCGCCCGGCTCCTTTTTGGCAGCAGCAAAGGCCCTCGTGGCTGGAGCCGGGGGGGCACATCCCGTCGGCTCTGGGACCCCAACAACCCAGACCAGAAGCCGGCGCTGAAGAACCCGGGGACCCAGCTGCACTTCCTGGACACGGACGACGAGGGGCCCCCCGTGCCTCGAGGGGAGCCTCGCCAGGCCCAGGCCCCCTACTATCGGTTCCAGAACTCGGACAACCCCTATTACTACGGAGGGGCCCCCTACCCTTACACTGGGTACCCTCTGCCCTACCCAGTGGGCACCGGCAACGAGGTCTACCCTGCAGCCTATTACCCCGCCGGCTACCCCAAGCAGGCCGAGCCTTGTGGGGGTGGGGGGGCTGGCAGCGCCCTCCCGGCCGACCCCCTGAGTGGCGAGACGGAGCAGCAGAAGGGCCACCTGCAGGGGCAGCAGCAGCAGCAGCAGCAAGAGCTGGGCAAGGCCCTGCGGGAGGCTGGGCACCTTGAGCAGCAGCTGAGCAACCTCCTGTCCCGGGACAGGCTCAGTCCGGAGGGCCTGGAGAAGATGGGCATTCTCAGGTGGGCAGGGGGGAAGGGGGCGGCCAGAGGGGAGCCATCCCTGAGCATCGCTTTGGAGCTGGGTGCTGAAAGGAGGCCTGGCCTGCGGGGCTTCCTAGGCGCCAGGAGGGAGGGGGGAGGGAGGGGGGGCTGTGCCAGGGGGTGGGTATTCAGTTTCTCCGGGGGTCCTTGAGCGCCAGTGAAGACACGTGCTGCTCAGAAGGCCCTGGGAACTTCCTTAGCCTTGGAAAGGTTGCCTGACCTCTCTGGGATTTACAGGCTGTGGGGGCGGGCTCTGGGGTGGGGGGGGGGGGTGTACGCGCCTGTCAGGCCCTGGGAGGCAGGGGGAGAGCAGCCCCCACTCCAAATACAGGTAGTCCTCAGCTTACGGACACAATTGAACCCACGTATCCTGCTGCTAAGAGAAGCAGTTGTTAAGTGAGTTTTGCCCCATTTTGCAACCTGTCTTGCCACAGGTTTGATTTTTAATTTGATTTATATGCCGCCCTTCTCCGGAGACTCAGGGCGGCTTACAATGCGTTAAGCAATAGCCTTCATTCTTTTGTATATTTATACAAAGTCAGCTTATTGCCCCCCACAATCTGGGTCCTCATTTAACCTACCTTAGAAAGGATGGAAGGCTGAGTCAACCTTGAGCCTTGGCGAGATTCGAACTTACAGTAATTGCAGGCAGCTGGTGTTAATAACAGTGCTTTAGTCTGCTGCACCACCAGGCCCTTGTTGTTCAGTGAATCACCACAGTAGTTGTTAGTGACCTGGTCGTTAAGTGAACCTGGCTTCCCCATGGACGTCGTTTGTTGGAAAGTCACAAAAGGGGATCATGAACCACAAGATCCACAGCAAATATAGTTGACCGATAATAAATAAGAAATAAATGGATGCCTACAGACATACATCGTTCGATCACGCTGGCCCCAGGGACACTTCAGCGATCGTGAGGGTGGGAAATGGTCGTAAGTCCCTTTGCCCAGGGCTGCCGTAATTTGAAGTCACTAACCAAAAGGCCGTAAGCCGAGGACGAGTGGCAGTCAAGAAGGGAGCTGCAGGGCCTTCAGCAACCGATGGAAGCCTGAACTCATCCAAGTTAATGATGCCCCATCCAGAAACCGGGCACAGTTCTGTGTTTCACCCCACATCCCCTTCTGAAACCCTCCCCCTTAGTGTAGGGGGTCCCCCATCCCCCCCCGGGGGGGCCTGGCCTATTCAGACCTGGGACGCACGAGTGGCTGGCCGGAGGGAGCGCCTGCCTGTGTGTGCAGCTCAAATTGGGCAGGCCGGCAGGCATTCGCCCGAGGGCTGCGTGTGCCCCAGTTCCCCTCTTCCCCCTCCCCCCCCCCCAGTTGGGCCACCAGGCCTCAAAGGTTGGGGCCTCTGCCTTGCAATGTTTTTAAAACTCCATCGTATGAGGTGAGCCCTCGAATTATGACAATTTGTTCAGTGACCGTTCCAAGGTACAACAGCATCTGAAAAAAGCCCTGTAACTTGGAGCCGTCACTAAACAAGCTGTCGTAAGTCGAGGACTATCGTATACGATGGATTTTTTTTTTAACTGTTGCAAGGCGCCCGCCGTCTCCTTCGTGGGAGTTGGGGGGAGGGGGAGGCGCCCCCTGCCTCCAATGAGCGAGGGCCCCGTGTCCGCTTGCAGGGCGGAGATGCTGCAGCTGTACGAGCGCTGCCTGCTGATGGACATTGAGGCGGCCGACGCGCAGAACGTGGACCAGCTGCTCTGGAAGAACGCCTTCTACCAGGTGATCGAGAAGTTCCGGCAGCTGCTCAAGGAGCCCGCCGTGGGGGAGAGCGGCCACGAGGTGCGCACCAGGCTGCTCCAGGTCTTGGACGAGGTGAGGCCCCGAGACCCCCGGCAGGAGGGCCACCCTCCGTGGGGGCAGAAGGAGGAAGGGCTACCTGGGGGTAGGTGGGGGGTAGAAGGGAGCTATCCCGTGAAGTGGTGAACGCAGGGAAGCCTAGCAGGGAGGACAATTAGCCAGTGGAACAGCTTGCCACCAGGCGTTGTGGGTGCTCCATCCCTGGAGGCTTTCAAGAAGAGACTTGTCCAGAATGGGGGAGGTACTGTGAGGGTGTCCAGCCTTGGAACTTTAAGTCTTGTGGGCTTCATCGCTCAGAATGGTAGAAGGTCTTCTGCTTGAGCAGGGGGCTGGTCTAGAAGACCTCCAGGGTCCCTTCCAGCTCTGTTCTGATGGATTGCCACACTGGGACACGCCAGGGCTGCGCAGGGCTGGACAACCACCTGTCCGGAATGGCACAGGGCCTCTCCTGCTCGAGCAGGGGGTTGGACTAGAAGACCTCGGAGGTCCCTTCCGGCTCTGTTATCCTGTGATCCTGTCCCGTGATCCTGCTGCTTTTTCCTCCCCTTCAGGGCACCGTCTTCTTCGACAGCCTCCTTCAGAAGCTGCAGGTCACCTACCAGTTCAAGCTGGAGGACTACATGGATGGCCTGGCCGTCCGCAGCAAGCCCCTGCGGAAGATGGTGAGAGAAAGTGGGTCGGGGGCAGGAGGTAACGGGGGGGGGGGTGTTTCCAGGGCACCCATGAGGATTGCAGGGGAAATCTTTCCCCTAGGGCAGCCCCTCCTCCTCTGTTGAGGGGTGACGGGCCTGGCCTTTCCGTGAGAAGGGAGTGGGGAGGGGGAAGGCTCCCAGCTGCCCCCGCCCTCCAAGCTGGCTCCTGCTCTTCCCTCCCCAGGTGAAATACGCCCTCATAAGTGCTCAGAGGGGCCTGATTTGCCAGGGTGACATCTGCAGGTACCGCGAACAAGGCAGCGACACGGCCAACTACGGGAAGGCCCGGAGGTAGGGCAGGGCTCTGGGGTGGGGGGCCCCTAAGGGGCACGGCTGGCCAAGCCGCTTTTTTCAGAACGGTGGTTAGAGGACTCGTCATAAGTCGAGGCTCACCTGTATGTACCTTCCCGGCGTTTAACGTCCTCACTTGAGCTGCCGCATCAGCCCTGGAGGGAGGAGGAGGGCACTGCGATGGGTTAATGAACGGGCTGGCTGGCGTCTCCGTCACCAAGTCCTGGCAGAGCAGCTGGGCACCATAACTGGGGCAGTAGCCAAGGTGGGGAAGGGGCCCCCGGCCTTCCCTTTCCCTTGGGAGTGGCTCTAACCCTGATCCTTTGCACTTACAGCAGGGCAGAAATGGTCCCCCCCCCCATGTAAAAATTATGCAGTTCTGGAATCCGAGAGGGAGGGCTCTCCGCTCCTCTGCCCTCCACCTCCACCTGAGAGGATGGCACAAACTCCCCCCTGGCATCCACACCCACCTGGCTAGTTGGGGCCCAGCCTGGCTTTTCCAGGCTACCTCACCTCACCCGACCCAAAAGAGGGCAGGATGTGGGGGTGAGCTGGGGGAGGGGAGAGGAGGGGAGGCCTAGCCAGGTGCAGCAGCTCTAGGCCAGTGAGGGGCTGATGGTCAGCTGCCAAGTCCACCTTGGCTTGATCCATGCCAGGAGCTCTGCTTGGGCGGTCAGTGGCAGCGTAGCTTAAGGGCAGAGCTGGGGCTGGAGCTGGCCAGCTTTCTTAAAAGGAGCAGCCACTCCGAGGCATGGCCCAGTCCCAGTGAGGGCAAGAACTGGGGGAGGCAGGCAAAGGCTGGGGGGGCACTTTATGGGCCCCCCAAGTGCCCAGGTCCTAACCCTGATGACTTGTGCTGCCCCTCGGTCAGAGATGTGTCTGGTGCAAAGGCCTTTCTGGCCTGCGCATTGAGTGGTCAGCTTGAGGCCGAGGCTGCTGTGCAGGAGGGGAGAGGGAGGGGTCAGCTCTGCAGGGGGCTTTTCCCAGACAGCCTGGTCTGCCAGCCTCGGGGAGGGGAAGCCAGAGGCCAGAGCAGCCCGTGTGACCCTCCAACCCTCTCGCTGGAACCTCGCTCCCTCCAAGTCCAACAGAGCTTGCGCTGGGCAGGTGCCATCCTGGCACGGCTCTTCCGTGGATCCTGCCAGCCGCTCACTTGGTCTCCTCTCTCCCCAGCTGGTATCTGAAGGCCCAGCACATCGCCCCCAAGAACGGACGGCCCTACAACCAGCTGGCTCTCCTGGCCGTCTACACGGTAAGAGGGAGGCTGAGTCGAGGCCGAAGCTCCCGCGTTTGAGCTGGCCGGTGCCAGGGGATGCGCGGCTGGACTGGCCGCAGGTGGCAGCAGGCTCCCCACCGGCCGCCAGGGGCATCGGCGCCAGGTTGCCTTTGGATCCCAAGCCGGGCTCTCCCCTTTCCCTCTGGCAAAGCTGGGTGGCACGAGGGGGCTCAGGCCCTGACTCGGTGTAGGTGGTCCTCGACTTACGACCACAACTTATATTGTTGAGAAATGTGCTACGCGAGTTTTACCGCATTTTAAAACTTCTCTCGCCACAGCTGTTAAGTGAACCCATGCAGTTATTAAATTAGTCCCACGGCCGTTAAGCGAATCCAGCTTCCCCCATGGACTTTGCTGGTCAGAAGGTCGCAAAAGGGGATCACGTGACCCCGGGGACGCTGTGACCGTCATAAATAAGGAGTCAGTGGCCAAGTGTCCGGACTTTGACCCCGTGACCACGGTCATAAGTTAGAATAGAAGAACAGGGTGGGAAGGGACCTTAGAGGTCTTCTAGTCCAACCCCCTGCATAAGTGTGAAAAACGGTCATAAGTCTTCAGTGCCATTGTAACTTCGGTCACTGAATGAAGTGTTGTAAGCCGAGGATTGCCTGTACCTGATAGTCATGCCATTGCTGGGGGTGGGGGAGTCCAGCTGCCCCCCTCTGATGCCGTCTGTCCGTCTCTGTCTGTCCAGAGGAGGAAGCTGGACGCCGTGTATTATTACATGCGCAGCCTGGCTGCCAGCAACCCCATCCTGACGGCCAAGGAGAGCCTGACCAGCCTCTTTGAGGAGACCAAGCGCAAGGTGGGTACAAGGGGGCCGCCGGCCAGGGCTGCCTGGGTTCCCGCGAGGTCCTCACGGCCCCCTCCTCCTCCTCTCACGCAGGCAGAGCAGCTGGAGCAGAAGAGCCCCAGTGAGCGTGGCCAGCGGAGCAAGAAGGTGGCTTTCCGGCCCTCCGGGGACGATGCCACCCGCCTCGAGCTCTGGATCCACCCCTCCCACCCACGCTCCGGCCAGGGCCACGAGTCCAGCCGGGACCCCGAGCAGGACGGAGGCCTGGGCAGCCTCAGCCCCAGTGAGGTGAGGGTTGCAGTGTTTCATGCGGCCACAAGGGGGCGCTGCTCAGCTTGCTATGGGGAAAAGCCCTTGCTTTTGGCTTTGGATTGTGGGGAGCGGGCAGGGGCCTTCCTTGCCCCCCGGGTCCCTGGTGCCACTCTGGCAGGCTGTGCCCCTCCCTTGTCAAAAGTTGATGTGTCTTTCTCTGCATGGGTAGGGGTGCCGAGGACTGCAGGATGGGGGATTAATGCACACAAAAATAAGAAAACACCCCCCCCCCCCCCAAAAAAAGCAACCTATCCTGAAAACAAATAGGTTTTAAGATTTGAGGGCAGTTTTGTCATCTCTAAGCAGGGGTGGCCGAGCTTGGCCTCTTCAGGACCAGTGGACTTCGACTCCCAGCATTCTCCCAGCTTTGCTGACTGTCCACAGGTCTTCAAGTGGCCAAGCTTGGACCCCTCTGCTTTAAAAGTTTAATTTCTAAAAAAGAAGAAGAACAACACCCTTTGGGGGGCCCTGCAACATCCTTCAAAATTGCACAGAGGCTGCCCGCTTCCGGAAAAGTCTCAAGAAAGTGGAGTGAACCCAGACCTTTGCGGTTTAGTCAACAAACATGGGGAACGAGGTCCAGGCACGTCTCCCAGGTTCCTTGTTCTCATCTCTGCTGAGTTGGGGTTGCTGCGAATGGGGAGGCGTGAAGAAAGTGGAGGCCCCAGTGTGGCTTTGGGGGAACGGTGGGAGCTTGTGGGTCCCTCGGGAGTATTCTCCCCCCCCCCCCCCCCCCGAGACCCAAACAAGCGTTCCGGCTGCAGTTGGGCTTCTCTGCAGGTGGGGGTGGGGGGGCTGTTTCTGGGCGAGGGGAGCAGCCCAAACACCTGTGTGTGTCCCTGGAAACCCTGCCTGGGCTGGGGGTGCTGGTGTCGCGTCGCGTCCCCCCACAACAGAGCGGCTGCGTGCCAGAGCCCCTGGGAGCCTACTTGACCTGGGTCACCGAAACCGCCGGGGAGCTTTATTTTGACGTGAGCTGTTTCGTTTCCAGCTGTGAGGTTTGTTGGAGGAAGCCGGGGGTGCCAGGCTGCAAGGGGCTGGTTAGAGGCAGAAACCACATGCCCGTCCCCCCCGCCCAGCTGGGGGACCTGATACACGGCACGCACTGGCCTGCCAGAGCCCCGGCTGGGAACAGAAGGGCTGTCAGGGAAGTTTCCCCCCCCCCGGTCCCCACAGGCCGGAGTTCCTTCTCCTGCAGCCCCCCAGCAAAACTCCCAGCCTCCTCCCTCCTCCCCCTGGGTGACCTTTCGCTGCCACCACAAGGCCGGGTGAAGCTCCCACGGAGGGTTTCCAGGCATGGCAAGGAAGGCTTGTCATTGTTTGGGGTGCGGGGTGGGGGGCGTGGAGATGCTACGGTGGGGAGGGGGTGTCCTGCTTTGGGGTGAGCCCCATCCACAGCCAGTTCATTTTCTGGGGGAGATGACAGGGCGCCCTTGCGGTCTCTCCCTTCCCCCACACAGTCACACCTGCCCACGCTTTCATGAGGACTAGAAGCTTTCCCTGGCCGCCTCCTGACCCCTGACGACACTCATTCATGACTTTTACTCGTCTGAGAGCTTCCCTTTTGAAGTGACTCAACGCTCAGAGCTGCGAGAATGGGGGCAGCCGGGCTCTGGGTCTCGTGCGGAGGGGCAGCCGGGGCCCACAAACCCACTGGAGCCACTTTCCCGCGCCCCACTCCCACGCTGCTCCCAGAGATCACCTTTCGTGGCCCCCCCGGCTGCCAGTGCTGCTTTCGGCTCCCTGTAGGGCCACTGGGGAGGAGTGTAAAGTCCCCAAGGAGCCCTTCTTGCCTCCGCTGCCCCCCTCCAGAGCAGCCGCCTGGGGCTCCAGCGCTCGGGGCCCCCTGCCTGGCCCTTCTTCACCCGCTCCCTAGTGAGACGCAGCATCGCTGGGGGTGACAGACCAGGCTTTCCTGCCCTGGGGCCGCCTCTGGGCACGTGGACTTCAAGTCCCAGAATCCTCCACTGGTTCCATGCTAGCAGGGGACTCGTGGGAGCCGAAATTCACACTGTGCCCAGGATGGGGAAGGGGTGCAAGATGAGGCTTCTGACATCTCCCTGCCCTCCTGCTCCTTCACTCCTGCTCTTTGTGACTTCTGGGGGGCTCTCCGCCCCTCGGGACCACCTGCATGGGGCGGGTTCCCCGGAGGGTCTCTCGGGGGCCTGATCTGGATGGCTGCAGGTCGGGCCCCTGGGCTCTGTGGCTGCTGTTTCTGCTGCCAGCTGCTCGTCACCCTTCCCTGAGGGGGACCCCAGTTTATTTGGGGGGCCTGGTGTATCTCTGCCTTCCCTGGCCCCCAGAGCGGAGGCTGCGGAGGTCCTCCGCACGAGGTCACGGCGAGGGCAGGGGTGGGGAGGGCCCCTTGCGTGCACAGAGGGAGGGCAGCTCTGCAGGGCTCGGAGGAGCTGGGCTGCCGCAGCCGCTTTTGCAGAAGTGCCCGTGGGCCGGTGCCGCTTCCTCTTGTGGGCAGCGAGGCCAGGAGGTTCCCAGCGCCGGCCTGGCAGGTGAGTCACGCAAGGGCTGAGTCATCTGCAGAGCAGCCCTGGCAGGCGCTCTCAGCTCGCCTGGGGGGGAGCACTGCAACCGGCCCCGGGGTCAAGAGGAGAGGGCAGCTGCAACTCGATTTCCCCCCCCCTCTCTCTCTCTGGGTGTTTTGTTCCAGAGTGCAGCTCCCTCGCCCACACGACCCTGACAGACTTGAACTGCTGTCTTCCCAGGCCTAGTCTGCAGGGCGTGTGGGGGGCTGTAGGGGGCCAGGACCCACACCGGGGAGCTCTGGGCTCAGCATCCCTCACTGGGGGGTGTTCTCTGCCCCCCGAAATGTTTGGGAAATGCAGCTTCGGTGATGTGTTTTGCAAAAGGCAGCTGGACTCCCTTGGAGTCTCCTTGTGGAAACGTTTTGCTTCTCATCCAAGAAGCTTCTTCAAGAAAGTTTTTGGATGAGAAGCGAAACGTTTTTGAAGGGAAAAACCAAGGGATAGAAAGCACCTTTGGGAGGATGGGGGAGCTGCCGAGACCTTCAGGGACGTAGCCAGGCTCAGCAAGGGAAGCCGGTTTCACTTCCTTGAGGGGGTGGGGGAGATCAGCAGCAGAACCGAGACCACCATGGCCCTGTTTCTCATCCCCCTGGAAGCAGGGCCCGGTGGTTTAGGCATCAGATGGGGGGCAGTTCAGCAAAGGGCTCCAGCAGCACAAGTGGGGAGCAGGGGGAGGGGTTTCATCCGGGGGGGGTGCCTGCTGGAGGTTTCCTCCTGCCTGAGCCGGGGCTGGACTTGGGCTCTCGGACCACTCAGTGCGGCCAACGTGCTGCAGCCAACGCGCTGGGGGTCAAGTCACAGCAGGACCAGAGTGACACTAATATCCAAGAAATGATGGAATAGAATCGTTAAAGAAAGGATATAAAAGAAGGGACAAAAACGTGAATGACAAAAGTTAAAACAAATTTTAAAATTATTTTAAATACTTAGATTGCATGGTTGGATTGTCCTGCAGTGAGTTCTCCGTGTCATGTTGGCCGCACCAAGTTGTCCCCTTCTGTTGGACTAGAAGACCTCAAAGGTCCCTTCCACCTCTGTTATTCCGGTGCCTCCTGGCAGGCCAGAGGTTGATATTCCCACAGTTGCAGCTGGGGAGGCGGGCAGCGCAGAAGCTGTACCCTCCCCGCCTGCCTTCCAGGGCTGAGCATCCCCCGCGCAGCTGCAAAGGCCCCGTCTGCCAGCAGAGGGGGCCCTGGCACCACCGCCCTCCTCTGCAGCTGTCTGGCACGGGCCCTCGGAAGGCCCGGGAGGGAGGCTGGAGGCCAGGGCACGGCCGCTTGGTTCCCATCTGCTCTACCACCCCCTCGTCCCTGGCCAGGTTCTCCGGTCACTCGGGACTCGGCGCGTTCGCAGGAAGAGGGAGCGGGCCTGGATTGTTTTCTCATCTTCTTCATCATATTTTCCCCCTTTTTTTTCCTCTCCCTCTCTCTTTTCCCATGCAGCTGAACAAAAGGTTCGTCCTCCGTTTTCTCCAGGCTCATGGGAAGCTGTTTACCAGGATTGGGTAAGGCTGCAGGATGTTTGTTTTGTTTCGCCTCCATTACCAGCCCTTCTGGAATCCAGTCCTGGGAGCAGCTGGGCTGGTGTTTGGAACGGAGGGCACAGGGTGGGATGCGAATGACCGGCCTCCTCCTCCTCCTCCTCTGCGGGGTCTGGGGGGGAGAGGAGGGGGTTGCGGGCTCTGCTTCTCAAGCTGGCTTAGTGCTCTGCCTGGGGGGGGATGAGGCTGGGGGGCTGCTAGCAGCAGCTTCTCTGCCGGCTCAGAGCAAAACCCCTCTTGTATAACAGAATAACAGAGCTGGTGGGGACCTTGGGAGGTCTTCTAGTCCAACCCTCTGCTCAGGCAGGAGAGCCTACATCAGGGAACTTTAAGACTTGTGTGCTTTTTTCAAGAGGCAACTGGACTTTCTGGTTTTTCTTTGGAGACGCTTCGCTTCTCATCCAAGAAGCTTCTCCAGTTCTTGAGAACTTCGGAAGGGAAGGAGCCTCTTGGATGAGAAGTGAAACTTTTCTTTCTTCAAAGAAAAACTAGAAAGTCCAGTTGCCTCCTGAAAAAAAGCACCTTTGGGACAACCATGACCTGGAGGACGGAGAATCTCCATTTAAGACCTGTGGACTTCACCTCCCAGAATCCCCCAGCCAGCATGGCCGGCTCAGGAATCCTTGAGTTGGGTTGAAGTCCACTGGTCATAAAGGGCCCATCGTTCCCCATCCCTGACGTACACCCTGCCCTGAACATGGTTTCCCCAGAGATAGACATCAAATACACCATTTTCACTCTCCTCCCCGTGATTTTTTTTTATTCAAAACCAGTGCAATTCATGACAAAGGTGACATTTCCACCGACTGACCCACCTCAATTCCAAGACCCCCAACGCTGCCTGTCCGGGCCCCTTTCACGTGTGGGTGGACTTTCTCACCCTGGCTTACATTGAACCCCACTGGCTGTTTCCAGGGCTCTTACACCCAATCCCGGGACAGAGAGAGATCCCGATCTCTGGAGCTTCACGCAGTTCCTTTCTGATTCCGTCCTTCCAAGAGGCTGGGATCCCAAGCTAGCCCAGCTGCCCTTCTGGTCAGCTTCGGATCCTTGGTCTCAGCGAGGGCCTTCTGCTTTGGGCAGCTGTCCCGGCTGCCCCCTTCCTCTGCTTCCTGCTTCCATCCATCCCGGGCGACCTTTGTCCTCTATCTCGTGGCTCCTTTGTCCAAGCCAATGTGGACGGCTGGAGGCCTCCTCCTTGACCCTCTCAGAAGGACCAGAGAGGCGGCATGTCCCTTCGTGGAAGCCCACCGCCTCTTGGATTGGGGTTTCCTAGCATTCTTCTTGCCTCGGATGGTGGTGAAGCCCTCCCTCCCTCCCTCCCTTTTTAAAACTGAGGTCACCCTGGTATTTTCCAGTCCTCTCGCACAGATGTCCTGGCCTTAAAAAGAGATTTATGTTTGTCAGAAGATCAGCAGTTCTTCAGACTTCAGGTGAAGCCCATCTGGGGCCAAGGCTTTGTTTAGCTCCTTTTGTCAGGCAGCCCAGGCCCTGCTCCGAGTCGCTTAGACGATGGGCAGCTGCCCGGAAATAGTCCCCCACTTACGACAGTTCGTTGAGTGACCGTTTAGTTAAACAGCGGCGAAAAGAGGGAACTTATGACCGTTTCTCATACTTATGACTGTTGCGGCATCCCCGTGGTCACAGGATCAAAGTTGGGATGCTTGGCAGCTGGCATGTACTTACGACGGTTGAGCTGTCCTGGGGTCACGCGATCCCCTTTTGCGACTGTCCAACAAACAAAAGTCAGTGGGGAAGCCCGATTCACTTAACAACCATGTGACCTACTTAACAGCTGCAGAGATTCACTTAACGGTGACAAGAAAGCCATAAAACAGGGCAAAACCCACAGAGCAATTGTCATAGAAATTTTGGGCTCCATTGCATTCGTAAGTCTAGGGTCCCCCGCCCTGTAGATGTTTTTCAAAAAGGAACAAATAAGCGAAAGCAGAATTTGGTCAGGGTCCCTGTGGTGCCCACCACCCTCTTGGGCCCAGTTGGGCCATGGGGGGTCGAGGTGTGGAGGGTAGCAGGGATGGCAGAGCCCTAACCCGCAAGCGCCCCCCCCCCCAGCGTTTCCTACACAGGACAGAGGCCTGGTTGCCCTGCCCCACACTCCCATGCAGGTCCCCCTACTGCCTGAGTGGGGCGAGGTCGAGTAGGCTGCGTATCTGGCATTGCTGCCACCGCCAGCCCTTCTCCCCACGGCCATTGGAAGGAAGAGCGGCAGAGGGGACTCTCCGGGGGAGGGGTGCTGGGTGAGCCCCCCAGGCTGTGCGTGCCAGACCTCTGGCCTGAACTGAGCGTTGGTGGTGCAGTAGACTAAACTACTGTTAAAGTAGCACTTAGCTGCCAGCTGCCTGCAATTACTGTGAGTTCAAATCTCCCCAGGCTCAAGGTTGACTCAGCCTTCCATCCTTCCGAGGTAGGTAAAATGAGGACCCGGTTTGTGGGGGCAATAAGCTGACTATATATAAAATAGAACACCGCTTGGGGGGGGAGCCCGAAAGCCCTACTAAGCAGGTATATACAAAAGTATGAAGGCTATTCCTTAAAAGCATTGTAAGCCACCCTGAGTCTCCGGAGAAGGGCGGCATATAAATGGAACCAATAAATAAATAAATAAACTCTGCCTGGCTGGTCCCATCAGTCAGCCCTGCCTGTCCTGGCTGCAGGTTTTTCTTGCCCCAGACTGGCTCAAACTTGCAGGGAGGGCTTGGGGTGGCCTGTCCTGCAGGTCTGAGGGGCCCCAGGCCTGGTGAGAAGGGGAAGGGGTTCAGGCAGCCCAGGAGGGCAGCAAGAACTCAGCCCCCTCCTCAGCTTCCTAGGAATGTTCTCTCACCTTTCTTTGGAGGAGGCCAGGCTAGCTGCCTCTGGAGGGCCCCGCCTACCTCTCGCTCATCCTGCCCTTCTGCCCTTCAGGATGGAGACCTTCCCGGCTGTGGCAGCAGAAGTCCTGACCGCCTTCCAGGCCCTGCTGGAGCACAGCCCGCCACCCATTGGGAGCAGCCGCCTCTTGCAGCTCATGGCCATCAACATGTTTGCCGTGCACAACTCGCAGCCCAAAGGTAGGGGCCGGAGCCGGGGGAGGGGCAGAAAGGAACCCCCCCCCCAGCCTTTTACCCTGTGGGGGGGAGGAGGAGCTGCTTGTGCTTCCACAAGACCCTCATAGAGCATGGGCAGAGTTCCAGAAAACCCCACCCTCATGCTGGCAGGTTTGGGTCCCCTCGGTGCCCGTTCCTTCTTCAGTGCTCAGTGGCTCCCAAGGTGGATGGGACCCGTCCAGCATGAAATGGTTCCAGGATGTCTAGTCCAGAGAGAAGGAGGACGGGGGGGGGGGGGGGACAGGATAGCACCTTCCAATATTGGAGGGGCTGCCACAAAAAAGAGGGGGGTCAACTTGTTCCCCAAAACACTTGAAGGAAAGACAAAGAACAATGGATGGAAACTAACTAAGGAGAGGATCAACCTAGAACTAAGGAGGCAGCGAGAACAATTAACCAGTGGAACAACCTGCCACCAGACATTGTGGGTGCTCCAACAGTGGAGGTTTTTAAGAAGAGACTGGACAGCCATTTGTCTGGAATGGGATGGGGTCTCCTGCTTGAGTAAGGGGTTGGACTAGAAGACCTCCAAGGTCCCTTCGCACTCTCTTAGTCTGAAAGGTGTCCCTGTTGGCAGGAAATCTTCTCCTCATCCTGAGAGGCAGGTGCCCAGGTTCCTCTGCCAGGAAACCCCAAGGCTCCTGAGGAAGCAGCTCCCCGTGCCAGGACAGGGCCCCATTGGTTCCCAGAGGGCTGTGAGGGGGGGGTCCTTGCAGCCGCTCCATCGCCCTGTCTCACCCTCTGGCTCCTCCTGCAGCAGCCTCGGGTCTTGGCGGGCACATGCCAGAGAGGCCAGGGCAGCTGCCCAGAGAAGGGCATTCCTGGGTGCCCTTGCAAGTCCCCACGAAGTGCCTGCCCTGCCCCCCCCCCCTTCGGAGAGAAGCGAGAGCAGCCTGGCGAAATCTGGGCAGAGTGTTGGCCTGCTGAGGGGGAGGGGGGGGGGTCCCTGTCTTCCGACCACAGGTGCGTGGAGAATGTTCCTTTGGGGGGGGGGGAATTTTGGGGAAGTGGGGTGTCTCGTTCTGGTGTGCAAGCTCGCTAATTGAAGCCGGGCTGTTGCGGCAGGGCATCTCGGAGAGGGGAGCAGGAGCCCCCTCCCCCACCCATCTGCACCCAATTTACTCCAATCTGGACTCGGGGGCTTTCTTTCCCCCCCCTCCCCCCTCGCTTTAATAATTTGTTTTATAATTGCACGAATCAAACCCATCTCAGGCACACTGTTCTGTTTTAGGGCCTGATTGGATTATGGTTTGTGTGAATCACGGGAAGATGAGTTTATGGGCCACCACAGGGGCTGCGCCTCCCCCCCTCTCCTCTTCCCCCCAGCCGGCTCACCCCCAGTTCTTCTAGGACTTTCCCCAGAGAGAACTATGGATCTCCAGATCTCCTTTGGGGTCTCTTGTGGCTTCCCAGGATGAGCAAAGGGGATGGAGGTCGGGCCCAGCGGGGGGATTTTAGAGTTAGGCTGCAGTTCTTGGGGGCTCCTTAGGCGCAAGCCCCCCCTCACCAGATCTTGCCTAGAATGTGTCAAGACCGCAGGGGATCTGGCCAGTTAAGGGGGCAGATTTGCAAGGCGGGGATCCCCTGCACCCCAGGACCTGTGGATGCTCCCCTAATAAGGGCCCTTTGAGACTTTCTGCAGCCTTGAAAGGGGGTCCTTTCCAGGAGGAACCCTGACTTCTTGGAAAGGACCCCCCCCCTTGGAGACTGTGCAGAGACCGAATTCACGCTGCATTCCTGGGGGTGGGGGTGTCCTTTCCCTCTGCTTCTCTTTTGAACGGAAGCCCCAACAGGCTTGAAGGGACCTCTGGGCACTGGAGTCTTTCTGCTTGGCTTCCCCTGCCATGTGGACCCAAAGGAGGGGGGCTCTCTAGACCCCCATCTTCAATCTGGCACCTGTGGGGAATGGGGTGAAGAAGGTGCCTGTGGGGAGATGCTGCTGCTTTCACAGAAGAGGAGACTCCTTTTGTGGGCTGGAGTGGGGAGCAGTTGGCACCAGCCCCGATTAAAAGAGCCCCAGGCTTGATTTAGTGCAGGGGGTGGGCATCGACAGCCATTTTACGACCTGCGGACTTCAACTCCCAGAATTCCTGAGCCAGCTTTGCTGGGAGTTGAAGTCCGCAAGTCATAAAATGGCTGTCGAGGCCACCCCGGATTGAGCGCATTTTAAGATCAGTGTTCATGGAGACACTGGCAGCTCATTTGACCATCGTTTCGGCTCCTATTAATGATGGTTGTCAGGGAGAGGGAATCCTCGACTTATAAATGTTCATTTAGTGACTGAAGTTAAATGGCACTGAAAAAAGGGACTTAATGACCGTTTTTCACACTTATGACGGTTGCAGCATTCCCACAGTCACATGATCAAAATTCAGATGCCTAGCAACTTTCTCATATTTATGACGGCCGCAGTGTCCTGGGGAGGTCACGTGATCCCCCTTTTGGGACCTTCTGACCAGCAAAGTCAGTGGGGAATCCAGATTCACTTCCCAACTGTGTTACTCGCTTAACAACCAAAGTGATTCACTTAACAACTGTGGCAAGGAAGGTCGCAAAATGAGGCAAAACTCACTTAGGCAGCGCCTCACTTCAGAACAGAAAACAGCTCCGTTGTGGTCGTAAGTCGAGGACTACCCATCCTGGATCCCTGCAGAGTGCAGCCCTCCATGCTGGGCCCAGAGGAGCCTGGGGGTCATTCAGCCCCATTGTGCAAAAGACAGGCCTGGAAGTGGGGGAGGGGATACCTGGCTTAGGGACGGCGTGGCTGAAAAAGATCTTGGAAGCCGGGCTGATGGCAAGAGGGAGCTGGAGCCGGCGGGATGTTGTGGTTGCAAATGCACTTTTGGGTTGCATCAACAGAAGTGCAATTCCCCAATTAGAGGAAATGATACTTCTGCTTCTTCCACTTGGTTGCCCCACCTCTGACTGTGGGAATGGGCGGCTGATGGGGGAAGCATCCGAATATTTCTCTCAATCCTGCACCCAGTCCTGGCTCTTGCCCTTGAAGGCGGTCAGCGCGGGAATATCACAGAAAGGGACTTTGGAGGTCTTCCAGTCCACACCCCACCAGGAGAGGGGGGTGGGAGAGAGAGAAAGAAAGAAAGGAAGGAGGGAAGGAAGGAAGGAAGGAAGGAAGGAAGGAGAGAGAGAGAGAGAGGGAGGGAGAAGGCTGAAGGGATAAATGGGCAGCCATGTACAGGTAATGTAGTGACTGAAGTTCCCCACTTAATGTTGTGGCATCCCCATGATCATGTGATCAAAATTCAGCCATTTGGCAACTGTCTCATATTTATGACTTTCGCAATGTCCCGGGGTTGCATGATCCCTTTTTGAGACCTTCTGACCAGCAAAGTCAATGGGGAAGCCGGATTCACTTAACAACCATGTAGTTCACTTAACAACTCCAGTGATTCCTTTACCAATTGTGGGCAGATTCACTGAACGCCTGTCTCACTGAGCAAAAGGAATTTGGAGCTCCATTGGGGTCCTACATTGAGGACTGCCTGCCAGTCGGTTGGCCGATGAAATAAATGAGCGGCAAAGGCTTTTGGGCACAAGGAGGTCAGCCGTCCTTCTGTTGCGGGCAGTGAATTCTGGCCTTCAGCTCCTGCAGGGCAGCCGGGAGGGGGAGAGCAGGTGGACGGGAGGGTCCCACCGACTGCAAGAGTTGGGGGGCTCCTGGTGCTGCCTGGGGGCGAGGGGGGCTGGAGCACAGCTGCACTGCCACTCCTGGGTGTATGGGGGGGGGCCTTGGAGGCAGCTTCAAGAGGCGGCTCCGTGGCACTTCAGTTCTGTGGCTTGCCATTGATGGCACAAGACGGACCGCTTCTTGGATTCCGGAGGGGCTTATGAGTTTGAAAGTCACTTTCTTGTGGCAGTTGCCGTGACAACAGCCACCCTCCTCCCTTTTGCGCCTGTTCCCTGGGAGCTTCAGCCCGGCTGCCGCTGCCGCCTGGGCCAAAGCCCACCCCTTAATTCTGAGCAGCTGCCAGGACGTTGCCCTCCAGAAGCCAAATCGCCTTTGGAGCAGAGCAGCTTTGTGGTTCGGGAGCTCCCCAGACGGCGTCGAGTTCCAGCCGTTGGGGGGGTGGGGGGGGTTGGCAGAGGGGAGCCCCAGGGCCTTTCGCCTCTCACTCTCGCCCCTCTGGGCCTCCTGGCAGCGTGGCCAGACCCCCATCCGGCAGCCAGCCTGGCAGGAAGAAAAGCACAAGAGGCCGTGCTGGGGATCTGGGTGGGTACACTCAGCTAACGTAGATCACGGCTTAGCATTGTGGCTTGTTCAGCAATGACGGGCAATGTGACGTGAGGTGATGCCCTTCTGGGCCGGTCCAGCACTTTCTGTGTGGCCCAACCGTTGCTGTTGAGCAGTCCAAGGTGGAACGAAGGCATACAATGCCACATCCACTTGGCATAAGGAGCCCTGGTGGCACAGTGGTTAAAGGGAAGTATTGCAGGCAAACTCTGCCTACTGTCAGTGGTTCGATCCTCACCGGCTCAAGGTCGACTCAGCCTTCCAGCCTCCCCAGAGTGTTGGGGGCCACATGCAAATAATGCTTGCGGCCCAGAGAGTGCCATTAAGTGCTGTGGGGATGGGACGTAAGCCTCAATGTTGTTGTTGTTGTTGTGGGTGGCACCTGTTTCTCTTGCGGTGTGCCACCCGCGGCAGCCTGGCCTTGGCAGAGGCAGATGTAGAAGAGGGAACCTCGGGGGGCACAGGAGGTGGTCAGGGAAGCCCCCCCCCCTTGGTCTGAGAGCCAGCAAGAGGAGAGGGGCTGGGGGGTCTTGGCTCTGCTGGTGGACCCAGGGACCTTTGAGCCCCTTCCAGAATGATGCGCATTGCTGGTGGGGATGGCCTCTGGTGGGCTACCGAGACGCTCCTTCGGGAGGCTTCCTGGGGGCTACCTAGGTGCCTCAGGGGTCGCGGCCGCCATCCATGTCGGCAACCGGGTGATTTTGAGGGAAGG